AAAAAAAAAAAGGGCCATATATATGTACCAACCCCCATTATAAATGTAACCATTATATACTGCTAACACGTACTAATAAAAGAATTATGAAACAAAGGGAGCTGCCCTAAAATTAAGAGTGATTCAATAATAAACTATTCGTTTTAGGGTAAAGGTGGGAGGTAAGAGATAAAACTTTTAGAGGTTGCCCATCATTTGCTTATAAGAGTAAAACAGTCAAAAAACAAACTGTTGACTAGAAGCACAAGTACCTTTTGTCCAAGTCCCTACTAAAACTAGCCAATAATATAAAAACAGTAAGCCCCTTGAAAAGACTCAAGTATACTTTGAGCCGCTTTTCTAGTCAAGTGTTTATCCTACTGAGCCATCTCCCCAGCCCCTTGAGCCGCTTTTCTAGAGATCACACTACAGGTGAAATTGTACAGCTCAGGCAAACCTAGCACACTAAAAACATATTAAGGGCCTCCAATCATGTTCTACGTACCCAACTGTCATGACTTCCCCAGAGTTCTTGTCTGTCACAAAATTATTGGCCACAGTCATGAGCAATGATTGAATGATCTGAGTTAGGAACAAAAGGAGATGAGCATATGTAAATGTCTATACTATCCACACAAATTCCTGTGGATAAGAAATAGCAGGTTATTCACCTTCTGTCTGATATTGGAAGAGATCAGGACTGAGGAGGGCAGAGACAAAAACATGCACATTCCACTACACTTTACTCACAGCACTACATCTCTCTTTTAATCATTTTTCAACTGACGTGAAAAAATTTTAACACAGGATAACTCCATGTTTTTTTAATCAAAGGGATTAGCAGCTTTGAAAATTAATCACTATATGCTTACTAATATTCTTGACTTCCTCTAATCATAAAACATAGTATGAAACAAAATCATTGTTAACCTCTCCAAAAAAACCCTTACTTCCTGCAAGCTGTACAACTGAGCTTCTTGTATTATCTCCAAGAGCTACTGTTGCCTCTGCTCAATTAAGAAAGAGCAGAAAGGAAACAACCCTGTGGGAAGAACAGACAGAGCCAGCAGTAGCACCACCCTGCACATGCCAGACCCAGAAGTTAGGCTTAACGCTCACCTCTGGAGGTACAAGGTGATGAGAGGCTTGTGCAGCAAACAGAAGGATCTTTGTTACTTCTGAAAACAGAAGAGGTGAGAAGGGTCACAGTATCACCTGCCACTCAGGACTGCAGCAACACAGCAAGCAGGTTTCACCCCTCATGCTACTGTCCTACTCCACCTGAACATCCAACTCCCAGCTCCCAGCTCCCAGCACAGCACACCCTTTCATTTCCTTCAGGTCCCTGCTCAAAGGCTGCCTCATCCAAGTCTTTCCTGACCAGAAAATCTGAAATAGAATCTGTCCCCAAAATTCTTGTTGCCCTTATTTTGCCTTCTTTCTCTTCAAAACACATCTTTACCTGAACACATTATATACAACACTGTCTGTGGCAGGATCCAGGAGGATAGGACTTTATGGTCAGTGTGGAATTCTTAAATGTCTAACACAATGGCCAGCACTGAAAACATCACTGAATGACTGAAAATATACACACATACATAGAGTTACTCTCTTTTCAGAAGGCCAGCACAGTTATTGCAAAGAACAAGGCCACTGTTGAAAGGAAAAAGTGAAGCTTTCTTGATTTGAACCTAGTCATTTTTCCTCTACAGATACCTTGCAGGATCAATTTGAAGACAGATGTGATGAAAGATGGAAAGCACTTTGCATAGTGCTCTCAATAAATAATAAATGTTAAGTTTCTTTCCTACCTGAGCTCAAATTCAAAGAAAATGAAAATCTTATCTTTGCTGCTTCTGTGTTGCTTTTAATTAATAACACATACAAGGGAAACAAGGCATAAGATAAAATCCTGGTATTTATCAAAGATCAAACTTCTAGAATGCTCAATGTGAACATTTATCACACTATGAAATGACTTGCTTTTAGACACTGATTTTTTGTTTACTAAAATATTTGTTTATTATAGTTGATAAATAGAACATCTAACCCATCACAGACTGAAAAAAGAAAATGTAAGAGCTCCTTTTCCCTTTTCTATTAAATATGCAGTACTTCACTCCTAACTCTATCTTTAATGATTCCAAAATAAAAGACTAGTTATAATGCCAAAGCCACCAAGGGGCATAGTAAGTGGGCAGGTTACCTCTCTGGTGGGGCTGCAGAAACCTCTGAAGAAAAGGGTAGAAATTGAAGAGAAAAAGCTATAAAGAGAAGAATGTACTGACTTTAGTATTTATATAACAAACACAATTTCATTTTCTCATAATGGAACTACATCACATGCTTAACTCATTTGAGATTAATTTTTCACTTTTGTTTTGTCTCAATAAACAATCATCCCAGGACGATTCAATGTGTTCTAGCAAACACCGAAGAGACCTCTCAACTGAAAGAAATGTTATCTTCACTAAATAAAGGAAGAATAAAGTACACTAAATAGGGAGACAGAAGAAACCAAAATGTAACATTCTTCTACTTTTAAAACTTTGGGGAGGGGCTGGCCAAATAGCTCAGTGTGTCTGCAAGCAGGCGCAGGAGCCCGGGGCACACTGAGACAGCAACTGAGAATGGACACATGCCTATAATCCCAGCTCTCTGGGGGCTATAAACAGGTGGATCTCTACAAGTCTGATCTAGTAGTGAGATGCTGAACACCCTATAGAGCCTTCCCTGAAAAAGATAAATAAATTAAAAAAACTAACTCTGGGAGTTAGGGAGACAGTTCAATGGCATAAATGCCTGCCTGGCAAGCACAAGGTCCTGAGTTCAATCCCCAGTATCAGAAGAAAAAAAAATTAGTGTAGCTACAGAACTGATGTTTCTGTGTTTAGAAAAAGGAACAGTACTGTGACTAATGCTCTAAAGCAAACAACAGAATACAATTTTGAAGTTGAAAAGCACTGATGTAACTTAGTCATTGAAAAACCCACAGTACTGATTTTTGTTTAGCAGTCTAACCACATTGGAGGAATCACTGTACTCAGTATTTTAAGAGAAAACACTAGCTCTCTATAGTGTACTTACATAGACATGCTTAAATCACAAATCACTTTGCTTTCCAATTAAGCTTAAACCCAGATCTGACATGAAATTACTGCATAAATGTTAAAAGAACTGGGGTTGATCCAACTCTGGATAATAGTCCACAGAAAAAGCAATGTACTCTCCAGAACAGACAAATTTTTCCTAGGAAAAGAGAATGAGCACTTTCACATGTGTTCTTTCATTTTTAACTTGATATATAGCTGTATTATTTGATTTCCAGTACAAAAACTCTTTTACTTTTCCTAATTTTGTGGTGGGTGAGGGGACAAAATTGCTGGAGATGGAACTCATGGCCTTGTGCCTGCTAACCAGACTCTCTACCACTGAGCTATACTTCCAGTGGCCATTTCACTTTTTATTCAAAATTTTTTAAGGAAAGTAGCATGTTCAGTAACACAGCACTAGGGCTACAGGTATAGCTCAGCGACAAAAGTGCCTGCCTGGCAAATATAAGGTCCTGAGTTTGATCCCTGGTACCATAAAAGAATAATACAGCACCAGTCATGAGAACAGATGGGGAACAATCCCAACACCATTTCTCTATGATCTCAATTTGAGGGCACCTTTCTTTTTCTACAGATGACAAGTAGTCTGAAGAGTAGGTATGTGAAGCCCTGAACAGATATATCATATGTATAGCTATATCAAGAAGCTCCTATAATCTATTTTAATAAAAAATGACTGGGGACTGGAGCTTTACAAATGTGACAATTTCCTAGTAGAAGGATCTGGAAATTGGGAAAGCCACATAGGGTTAAACTGTGAAATACAGTAAGAAGCAATAAAAATATGTAGGTTATATAAGCTCAGGAAAATTATATATGAAATGAAAAGAAATTACAAAAGGAAAACACAAGTTGTTCATAAACAATGCATGTAAAAATAAAATATACTCACAGGAATGAAAATGAAGTGATAAAGACTGAAAGACAGTTGTTAACTGTATAGGTATAAATAGCCTCAGGGTTAAAAGATATTGCTTTAATCTAATGGCTTTCCTTTTACCCAGAATACTTCTACTTATAACATTCACCAAAAGAATGTATATCAAACCTCATGGATTCCCACCAATCTGGAGATGAGGTTCATAAGCATCATCTTCACTTCAAACCTCTCCTTAGAGTTCTCCAGCTGTTTGAGTAGCTTTTCTGCAAAATCTGGAATAAGAAGACCACAAAAGTTCACTGTGGGCACAGTCTATACAACACTATCTAATGGGTAGGGAAAAGAAGCAGTTAGATCAGTGAAAAGATTAAACACAGATGGGCCTATCTTCAGTGGTACCCAGAGTTCATCTTAAGGATCCTCAAGACTTACTGTCACATCTTGAGTACCTGAGGGACAGGCATTCCACTGAATTATTCTCTAGAGCTTTGCTTCTCAAAGGGTGGTCTACAAACCAACAGCATGCAGTCCACCAAGGACTTTCTCAGAAAAGTGGGATTTGTAAACACACTCAAGTTTGAGGAACACTGAGGTAGGGCAAACATTGCCATATGGTAAAGTACAGAGTATACAGACTCCCAACAACCAGCCAAGCCCCACAGCATCTGAAGCACAATCTCTGAAGTTAACAGAACCTAAGAAGTACAGCTTTGTAAATTCTCCAGGTAATTCTAATGTATGGCCAAGCTTGAGAACTTGTTTTAGAACAGGGTTTCCCAAGGTTAGGCATGGTGGTACATACCTGTAATCCCAGACTATCTAAAAACAAACAAACAAACAAACAAACAAACAGGATTTCCCACTTCTGATTTCACAGACCAATTTTTTAAGGGTTCTTTCTTTCTTTTGGCGGAACTGGGGATTGAACTCAAGACACTTGCGCTTGCCAGGCAAGTACTTGTTCTACTGAGCCATCTCCCCGGCCCTCACAGAACAATATTTTGATTTTGAGAAAAAACAAACAAAAACAGGCTACCTGTTTTTATTTGGCTAAGTACAATCTCCTACATTTCTGTGTCATTAAAGCCATGACTCTCAAATGGACCTGTTCAGCCATAATTTTATTCTTTTGCTATAGATTATGAATCACTGTTTGTTAGGGTTGGGAAGATAGCTTGGCAGTCTAAGCACCTGCCTGGCAAGCGCAAGGACCCGGGGTTAACCCCCAGTACTGCATGCCATGTCAGCACTGCACCAACCACCGAAATTAGGCATGGTGGCACACGACTATAATCCTAGTGCTGGGGAGGCTAAGACAGGAGAATGACTACGAGTCCAAGCTGCACAGCGAGACCCTGTACCAAATTAATTAAATTAAAAAAAAAAAAATCACGGGCCTGGAGAGATGGCTCAGTGGTCTAAAGCACCTACTTGAAACAAGCTTGGCAAAGCACAGGGACTGCGGTTCGATCCTCCAGCACCACATGCCAGCCAGCC